AGTAGTAGCTAAAAAGAAAACCCCCACACATTTTTGTCTGCTAGTGTTCGTCGCTTTAAAGGAATCTTGCGCGGAAAAATCATGATTCTATTTCAGCCATAAATCACTGGCTTGAGACTCATTATCCACGATAATAGTGAAAAGAACTGAAGTATTGCTTTCGTTTTGATTAGAAATTCGAAAACTCGAAAAGGCTGCTACGCGTTCGAATTGCCCACGGACGTCTTTCACGAATGCTGGCGACGGGGATGCTCAAACTTGGTTCTTGGAGTGCATTCACTAGAAGCTCTTTCTGGCCTTCTGCTTCGTTGCATTCACATCTTACACTTCTACTCCATCCTATTCCATCGATCGATTTGTCTCCACTCTCCGAAATCGCGCGCTTTAACCCGATTCTCTCATTGCGTCGCCTGGTACGTAGCCGGCCAAACGCCGTCTTCTTTCCATGCCTCGCCTGGCTCTGCCTCCTGGTCCTTCGATGGTCCATAACGTGTAGTTTTTGTACGTTTGTTTCTCTTCAGAAACCGAATCTTCATGCGTGAAACTTTGTGTGCTATTTCCAGTGATCACAACTGACATATTCATGTTAGGAAAGAGTGCAAGAATTTTCCGCGCAAGATTCCTTTAAGATCGCTTTTCAGTCTACAGCGAAAATTCAGCGTGTAAACGAACTTTGCAGCTTTTCCACTTTCCACTTTGCAAACTTGGTCTCACTTACAACCCGTTCTCGCTTTGCAGATGCTAGGCTGAAAAAGATTAAAAATGAAGACATTATCCCAATTTATCACTCCCGTCAGAAATGTTGTACGTAGGTCACAGTCCGGAGGGTAACATTCAAGAAGAAGATCCAAAATGTTTTTGGAAAGTGGCTTTTATTGCACCGATTTGCGTTCATCTGTTTTATGATATAGAAAGCGAAAAATTCAGTAGGATGCAATTTTCTCTAAAGGAGAAGGATTCCAACCTCTCTGGGAAGCGTTGGCAGTCCACAATTGGAGGTGTAGTGGTTGTCAGAGGTCGCAGTGTTGTAGTGGGCATGACGGTGAATCCTGGCGGTAAATGAGCGTCCCTCATGATTATTCGGTCCAAGTCGGCGTAGGTGGTATTGGAAAATCTGAAATAACTCTATACTTCGAGACCAGATCATCCACGAAATTAGGTTTAGAACCCCAGGTTAGTCCGGTAGTCCGTGAAGGGATATTAGAAGATGTTGCTTCATTCGATAGAATACAGTATTAGTTTGCTGACCTCATCATATACAAAGCTTGCTGGTGATCTCTTCTGAAGAGCGCAACAGTGGGGAATTCGGCGATTCTTAGCATTCCAACAAGCAATGAGTTGGAGAGTGCACGTCGTGCTCCCAACATTCGAGATCGAGATGAGAGATCCAGAATGAACTGAAATTAAACTTTCACTTTTTCGCATTCCTGACTCTATTTCTATACATTTCTGGTCGTTGTTTCGCATGGCTCCCTTTTGGAGGTGATCTTTCGTCTCGCATCAAACTGACATTTGTACGCAAATAGTGACGCGCAGGCAGTCGTCTGTCGTTCACAACAGACGCACACACATCACCGTATAATTTCACTTCGATTCGATTGACCTTTTGTGGAACGAGTTTCAGGCCTTCCCACAAAGCACGTTAATTATCCGCTCGCGAACGGTGTCTGGTATTTCAATGTTCATTTAAACTAGAAAGCCAAGTAACAGGTCAACCGGACCGGACGGAAATCCATCTTTTCGCTTTTGCTCCCGTCAAAATCGCTAACGCTACAACAAAAAGATGACTAAATAAAGTCGCCCAACCACTAGCTAGAGCTGGTAATCGGCAAGAAGTTTTTCAACTGGTTTGAAGCTATGGGGTGCAAGAATAATTATTCAAGCTTTTCAAGGTTGAACTTTTTATTAGGCTTACGTTTCGGGTTCTTCGCCTTCGTCAGAGCCTGAAATGAATGTTCAATCTTGAAAGGCTTGAAGAATTATTCCTACTGAGCTCCTCATGCCAACATAGGGAGCCATCCTTGGAAAAACTAACGTACAGCTGATCTTCAAGGAATATCAGACAGTGTAGCCTCTATTTTTTCCACGTTTTCTGGAAAAAAAAGCTTACTGGAGTACTCGTAAAAGGGCAGAGCAATCCTTGGGCATGACGGAGGGTTATGAAGATCCATTTGGTAGCTTCTGGACGGTGAAGGGCCAGAAATGATCAAAGTAATATCTGCTTGATAAACTCGTACCTGCACTCCGATGCCGTCATACTCTTCAAAGATGATCGCCAGATAGTCGGCCGATTCCGGCACTCCTTCCCATAGTTGCCCATAAGTGGTAGTTCTGAAACTCAAGATTGACCAATTGTTCAGGCTCATTTCGTCGAATTTGCAAATCACTCTACCCGTCCACGTAGATATGGGACAAATTTGGCCAGTCAGGATATCTGGCAACTGAGTATTCGTTGGCTACCATCCTCATCAACGCTTCACGCATGGCTTCTGCCGAATGCTGTGCTTCGATCATACGAGCTTGGTTTGGTGCCCGTGCAGTGCGTGGGAAGTACTGAAATTGAGCGTAAAGTATTGTCAGTTTGCAAGTGGTCGCCATTTCGCTGCCGACAGTTTGGCCTCGACAGCGGATATTGAGATCTGTTTGCATTTTCGTTTCCGCTGTTTGTACTGCGCGTGTTCTTCTGAGAACACTCCACAGCCAGTAGATCAGTTGACCGGCGGAGTTATGGATTGGGGACATCGCGCTGACGTGAGGAACGAACCGCGAATAGCAGGAGGGAGCTAGGAACAATACTTGCTGATCGTTCTCTGGATACACCGTGCATTACGTTGGAAACAAAACAGATGTTTACATGAACGGTGATGCTTCTTCCTTTGTAAACATCAGCACTTCTGCGAGCTATGTCATTGAAATCGTAACATTTGATTCATTTTCAATTTGTCATGCACTCGAAAACTTGCATGATCGGTGAAAAGCGCTTCTCGGAGATGGACTGT